ATAGATGAGCTCAGGACCATGATAGAAGCCATGAATGCCCAGCATAGAAAAGAAATAGAAACCATGAATGACCAAAATAGGAAAGAAATGGAATCCATGAAAGAGATTCAAACAGATATCCAGGAGATTAAAAACTCTATTGAAAGTATATATAACAGACTGAGCCAATTTGAAGATGGGATATCAGATATAGAAGACAGAATGGCTGTCAGTGACTATGAAAGGAAGGAGCTCCTAAAAAATGTAAGGGAGCATAAGAAATCAATCCAACAGCTCCTAGTGATGCAAAGAAGAATAATATAAGACTGATAGGAGTCCATGAAAAAGCAGGAAAAAGTACAAGTCACACACACACACACACACACACAAAGTTCACAGAATTAATGATAGAAAACCTCCCAAACAGAGCAAAAGAATTTGACATACAGATAAGTGAGGCTTATAGAACTCCAAATAGCCATGATCAAAAAAAAAATCTACACCTACACATGTAATAATCAAGATCCCAGAAACCCAACAACAACGACAAAAAATACTACAAGTAGTTAGAGAAAAGAAACATCACATGCAAAGGAAAGCCCATCAGAATCAAAGCAGACTTTTCAACACAAACCCTCAAGTCAAGGGCAGCCTGCAGTGAAGTGTTTCAAGCCCTAAAAGAAAACAACCTCCAACCTAGACTGACGTATCCTTCAAAAGTATCTTTCAAAATTGATGCAGAAATAAGATACTTCCATGACAAAAAAAAACACCTGAGAAACTTCATGAATACCAAATCAGAACTTAAAATAATTCTAAATAATATCCTGAAAAAACCCAATGAAGATCACTACTCCATGAGGCTGAACAGCAAATCCAGAAGGCAAGGCAAGAAATTAAAGGGACAGGGGGAAAATTAAAAAGAGCCAACAACAGGAAAATAACATGATGATGATTAGGCAATATATATTAGGCAATATATATCAGTTATAGCCATCAATGTTAATGGCCTCAGTTCACCAATAAAAAGAAACAGACTGGCAGAATGGATTAGGTAGCAAAATCCAACACTATGCTGTATACAAGAAATGCACCTAGTTCAAAAAGAATCTCATAGGGCTGGGGATTTAGCTCAGTGGTTCTACCTCCTGCCTTGCAAGTGCAAAGACCTGAGTTCTATCCTCAGTATCAAAAAAAAAAAAAAAGAAAAGAAAGAAAGAAAGAAAGAAACTCAGAGACTGAAAGTAAAAGGGTGGAAAAGAGTTCTCCATGTGACAGGAACCCAGAAAAAAAAAGCAGGAGTAGCTATCTTATTTGCAAACAAAGTAAATTTCAAACCAAAACAAATTAAGAGAGACAAACAAGGCCATTCCCTTGGAAAGGGAACAATCCAAGAGGAAGAGATGACAATCATAAATATATATGCATCAAATACTAATGCCCCCAACTACACAAAACAAAATGAGAACAGATAGAATTGAAAAACCAAATAAGCACTGATACAATTGTAATGGGGGACCTCAATACCCCACTATCACAAATAGATTATCTAGACAAAAAAATCAACAACAAAATACTAGAAATGGACCAAGCTTTTGAACAAATGGACCTAATAGACATCTAGAGTGTGTTCTACCACACAAAATCAGAATATACATTCTTTTCAGCTGCACATGGGTCATTCTCCAAAATAGATTACATACTAGCTCATAGTACATGTTTAAGTAAATGCAAAGGAATCAAGGTTATACTATGTATATTATCAGATCATAGTGCAATTAAGCTAGAGATCAATAGCTTTTGAAACTTTGCAGTGAAATTGAAAGGGAAGCAATACTTCAAAATTCATTCCTGGAAGCAAGTGTTATTTTGATTCCAAATCCAGGGAAAGACCCAACCAAGAAAAAGAACTATAGGCCAATCTTCTTAATGAACATAGATGCAAAATGTCCTCAATAAAATGCCTGCAAAAAGAATACAGAGGGCCATCAAAAAGATCACACACCCTGAGCAAGTCAGATTTATCCCAGGGATGCAAGGATAGTTCAACATATATAAATCAATAAATGTAATACATTATATTAACAGAGTCAAAGACAAAAACCATATGAACATCTCAATAGATGCAGAAAAAGCATTCGATAAAATTCAACACCAACTCATGATTTTAAAAAAAACTTGCAGAAAATTGGAATAGATGGTCATCATCTCAACTTGATAAAGGCTATTTATGAAAAACCAGAAACCAACATCATACTAAATGGTCAAAAACTGAAAACCTCCACATTAAAATCAGGAACAAGACAAGGATGTCCACTATCACCACTCCTGTTTAATATAGTTCTGGAAACATTAGCCACAGTGACTAGACAAGAGAAAGAAATAAAATAAATAAAAATAGGAAAGGAAGAAGTTAAATGGTCATTATTTAATGGTGATATGATACATTACTTAGAAGACCCAAAAAACTCCACCAAAAGACTTCTAGACTTAATTGACAGATTCAAAAAAGTAGCTGGATACAAGGTCAACGCTCAGAAGTCAATAGCCTTCTTATACACAAATAACAGAATCACTGAGAGAGAAATTAGGGTAATAGTCCCTTTCACAATAGCCTTCAAAAAAATGAAATATCTAGGAATCAATCTAACAAAGGTAGCAAAAGACATCTACTTTGAGAACTACAACACTCTGAAAAAAATACATCGAAGAGGATATGAGAAAATAGAAAGACATCCCTTGTTCCTGAGTAGGAAGAACCAATTTAGGGAAAATGGCCATACTTCCAAAACTGCTATACAGATTCAATGCAATCCTGGTTAAAATCCCAACAGTATATTTTGCCAAACTAGGGAAACCAATCCAAATATTCAACTGGAACCAGAAGAGACCTAGAATAACAAAAGCCATTCTAGGCAATAGAGAGATGACAGGGATTATCACAATCCCCAATATGAAACTATACTACAAAGCCACTGTGAGAAAAACAGCATGGTACTGGCAAATAAATAGACCCAAGGACCAGTGGAATATATTAGAAGATGCAGAAACAACTCCAGACGTGCTTAGCTACCTAATCTTTGACAAAGGAGCCAGCCATCCTCACTGGAGGAAAGATAGTCTCTTTAATAAATGATGTTGAAAAAACTGGATTTCAATATGCCAAAGATTTAAACTAGACCCCTATCTTTCACCATGCACTGAACTAAAGTCCAAGTGGATTAAAGATCTAAATATTAAAACAGAAACACTAATCTTGGTGGAAGATAAGTTAAGTAAAATTCTTGAAGACATTAGTATAGGAAAAGGATTTATTAACAAATCCTCAGTAGCATGAGAACTAGCACAAAGAATCAACAAGTGGGATCTCATCTTTTTAAAAAGCTTCTGCAGAGCAAGAGATATCACCAATCAAAAAATATTTGATTGCCTATTTCACAGAAGGCATTCTAGGGTTAAAAGATGAACAAAAGTATCTCTCATTCTGAGTCGACTTGTTATTAGTGGAGACACCAATTCTCACTTGTGTCATTTATTTCCCCCGGATTTGGTAACCTTGGGCCAAAAACTCAAACAGACAAAACATAGTCTTCTGTCATATTTTTTAGTCTGCTCAATTCTTCAAAAACATCTGATTTGGAAATAATTTTAAATCAAGAGATTTCACACAGAGAGAGAGAGAGAGAGAGAGAGAGAGAGAGAGAGAGAGAGAGAGAGAGGTTTCCATTTCTACCCTAAAATATACTAATAGCTGATAGCTAAGGGGTTCCAAGGTTTACGATTGTCTTGCTAGCTCCCACAGTTTTACAGTCAACTACTTCACTTATTTAGCATCCCAGGCTGGATCCTACATAATATTTGAGTTTGCAACCTGAGCCATGAAGAAGAAACAACACGCAGTGGATTTATGTGATGTGGACAGGTGGCATCTCATGGAAGAGGCGGCATCTGAGTCAGACACAGACAGGCAAGTTTGTCCAGGCAGCACCAGGGAAGACGGACATTCCTAAAGGAGAAAACCATTTAGACAACAAAACGGAAGTAGAGATGGGCAGAGAACATAGAATATGGCTGATAGTCTGGTATAGTCTCACCCGTGAGATGGGAGGTTTGGGGACGATCCATCCTGGAAGTTGGCCCACGGCAGTTCATACTGGGCCTCCTATCATTGCCTGGCAGAAACAAACCCAAAGCCTCTCTATTCCCACCAATATTTTTTCAAAAATAACCAGCAAGCAGGCAAATATTACCATTCACACAAGAATACAAGACTGCATCAAATTTGAAGAAAACCATGGACAGAAGAAAGAAACCTGCACTGTTTGAACTCTCAGACACATGCGTAACTAAAAGTCAGCATAGGTCAACACTCAGGATGAGAGAGAGAGAAGTGTGGATGCTGCTTCAGGGCTGGGGGTTTTCCTCTTAGTCATGGCCTCCCAACTCCATTTTTCAGGAGAGAGGAAGCAAGGATGCCACAGGCAACAGACAGGATTGAGCCAGTTGGAGCCACCGGCATGGGTTGGACCCTGTCACTTACTCTTACAGTGTTACTTAAACTTTCTGACCCTCGGTCTCCTTGTCTCTGTAAAGGCCAATGACTACTTTAAGTGGGATTTTGAAAATTAAATGAATTGGCTTACACAAAAACCACACATATCAGGGCATGATGATGCATGCCTCTAGTCCCAAAACTCAGGAGGCTGAGGCAGCAGGCTTGCTGTGAGTTCAAGGTCAGCCTGGGCTATAGTGAGTTTCAGACCAGCCACAATTCCTAGCAAAAGAAAAAGAAAATGCTGGACATAGCGTAACTGTTTGATGAGATCAGCTGGCTTTATTAGAATCGTTCACATAAATGTAAAATCACAGGTATTTCATTGCTGTGGAATAGGATGTTGTCTTGAAGCATCGGCAAAATAAATCTTGCTATCCAAACATAAAATCCCACCAAATTCCTAGGACCTTAAAAATGTTGGCTTTTTGTTTTTGTTTTTTCAATTTCAATTGTCCAGGAAACTTACCGAGTACTGGGAAGGATTAATCCAAACTGCTTCTGTTCCCAGGGCCTTCTGTTCTGTCGGAGGTTGTCTTCTTCCCAGTTGTAGAAGCCCATGAAGTGGGCACAGAATCCAATGTCCTGACGGGCTTTCCTCAACCTGTGATCACCATCGCTGCCTGCCCAAGGAGAAAGAGTGAGCAACCTTCAGTATAACACACACTGAGCCATTTCTAGCTGGTGCCCTTATAAATATGCTTCAGTTGTCCAAAATAATTGCTTCCAAGAAAGGCCAAGCATACAGTTCTGACAGGGGTGTCCTTATGAGTTTGTGCTGCTTGTAAACCTGTCAGAAGAGATGCTGTCTCGCATTTCCATCTTTCAACTGTGCTAACAAGTCAGGTTACTTTTCAGGATATCATTTCAGATGTTGCACACAAAGCCAAGTTTTAAAGCAAGGTGAGCCCCCAGGACCCCATGGTTTTAATACAACTAGCTTCATGTTTTTCTTCTTTTAGGTAGAGATTCAGACACCCCTCTGCAGCTCCCTTGGCCAACCATAGGTCTTCTTTTGTGTGTTCTGTCCTGGTAAAAGCTACCAGTATTTATCTTGTGATACTGGGACTCAGAGTCAAACTGTAACAGTCTCTGTTCTCAGTCACCCGCAGCTAACTGTATACCTGTCCTAAATGTATCCCTTTCTACAGATCTTTCATCTGTGGCTGTATTTTCTCCTGGAATGGTCACTGCACCTCCTACCTGGTTAAATACAGGGCTCCTCAGCAGCATCACCCTTCAGTCTCACTCTTCACAATCACCTCTGACAACAAAATGATCATCAAAAAATATAGATCGGTTCAAGTCACCTGCCTTGCTTAAGATCATTCACTTACTTATCATCATCTCATGAGGAAGAAATCCAAAGTTCATCAGTAGTTTGCCTAAGAGCTTTCCCTTCCTCTGCATAAATGCTGGGTGTGCTTGGCTGCCCAGAACTACCTGCCCGTCAGTCATGATGCCAGGTCCTCTCATCTTCTGAGTCAGTGTGGTTCCTCTCCTTGGAACGTTCTTCTGCATACCCTTCCTGCCACTCTCCACTAACTCATCTGGTCAGAATCCGTTCACCCTTCATGACTCACCTGAAACACCAAATCGTTGGAATGCTTTTTTACTTTTCCCCCAACATTCAGTTAAAACTACTTTGAAAGCAGATGAGTCTCAATGGACTTATAGTCCTACAAAAACTGTTTTTGTTTCTATGACCTAGTGTTTCACAACTTGAGCAGTGTTGGGATTTGGGGCTGGCTAATTTGTGCCTGTGGAGTGCCATCCAGTACCTGGAGGAAGTTCAGCACTGTCCCTGGCCTCCACTTACTAGATATCGGGAATATCTTCCCTAGCTGTGACAGTCAAACCACACCTCCATACATTGCTAGTGTCACTTTGGGGCAAAATAATTATCTGTTGAGAACAATTGCAGTACCAACACCCTGTCTGCATTGGGATGGTAGCTTATTTAACAATTATCACTCCCAAAAGAATATTTTTCTTGGCAAAAACTGATGTTTTTCTCAGCCAGTACAATCCCAGTGTTTATAACAGTGTCCATCATATAATATATGATTGATAAAAATTTACTGAATGGGGGAAGATAAATGAATTTGTAAATGTTTTGGTTTTGGGGGGGTTCTCATTAAGTTTATTGGTACCTTTTAGGCATTCAGTACAGTTACATTCATCACTGGGATTGTGTACCTTTACATGATGTATCTTGGTTCTTAGTCTTTCCCCATCCCCCCGCCCTCCCCTTTACCCCCTCCAACCTTCCCTATTTACAAAGACTTTGTTTCCATTTTTTCCTTTTCTCATATTTTTTCTTGTCCCTTCCTACCTTTCCCGTACCACTCCCACTTGCCATCCAAGTGAGCTATCGATGGTATTCCCATTTCAAACCATCTCATTTTGAACACTTGCTCCAATAACACATCCTACATGATTCTCTACAATACTGGATGTGAATGGCAGGACCTGTATCTAAACCTTCTCAAGTCAGTGATGCTCAGCCAGAGGAAAATAAACCACACCAGGAAAATCCATTAAATACCCATTAGATTGGCTATTCCCCCTACACACACACATCTGTAACAATGATATTCTGTCTTGAGTGATTCACTCATCACCACATACTGTGAGAACAGCTAGATTCTGCTCTTCCAGTACCCAATGCTGCAAACCAAAGCCAAGTTTTAAAAATGATATACTTTCAACTTAAAATGGATAGGTAGCACCATTAACCATTTTCTAGGCCATATAATTCATATGCCAGTAGCTTTGGGGATGATATAAACTCGGTTTTCACAAATCACTGAGAACAGAGCTTCTTAACCAAGACATCAGACCACTGAACAGTGACATCTTTTATTTAATCTCCTCCAGTATAACAGCTTCCCCTCATGTGTGCTAGCAAAAAGATGAAGATTATCTTTCACTTTTGCATATACGAGCTTCCTCAAATGCAAGAAGAGGGGTTTCTGTTACCTTAAGGGCTTAAATGAGTTAACATAATATATGTCCCCATCTTCATTTCTGGGAGAAAGAGAGAAAAAATTAGAATATAATAGCTATTAGACTCAAGAGCTTTTTGAAAGAGGATGGCATGCAGAAATGTAGAGGTAAAGACTTCCAGACTTTGCATGGTTTAGTGATGATGAAAATAAAAGCAGGTGATGCAGAACTTTTCTTATAACCTGGGTTTTATTCCAGTTACAAAATGAATGTTATAGACCAACTGCGAAAAAGCCACCTCTGTCAGAATGCCATAAATGTCTAAAAGGAATTCACCAAGTACCACTGCAACCACTTTTCCAATAAAGAGTAGAGTTGACCTTGGAAGCATCCAGGGCCTTAATATTTCGGAGGTATCTTTTTTCAAGCATTTCACATCCTTCTAACATTGTTTCATACATGCAAAAAGCCACATCTGTGATATATTAGCACATGATGCATCTTTATAATTTTGTATTTGAAAGTCCTTGGAAACACCTGTTTTGAAAGCCAATAATGGGCAGGAAATTAACACTTTAACAAATGTAACCTACATAGAGACAGAGTTGTATTGGATGTTTGTCTTCCTTTAATGAGTTTGACATGCATTCATATATTTTCATCTTAGTCCATTTCTTGATGGATTTTCTGTGATGTATAATGATACATGCTGAAATGAGGACAAATTGTGATATGTGCATGTCCTGTGACTAATTATATGAAGTATGATCAAACAATAAACTGAATGTTTAAATTTTTTAAAATTATTACACTAAAGGACACATCACCATTAAACCACCTCAAAATACTCCCTCATGATTCAGACATACTTATCCCATGTTCTTGCCACTTTTTGAAGCAGTTCCGGATGTCTCCGGGAGTGTCTGAAATAGTGGCCTCAGTGAGCTGTTGTATCTGCCTTAATATTCTCCCTTTACTCCAAATGTTTACCTTCCATGGTTATTTTGACATTGGGGAAGAGCCAGAAGTCACACGTTACCAGGTGTGGTGAAAAACATGGATGAGGGTACACTGATTCTGAACCACAAAAGATGTTCACCAGAAAATGACTTTCAGAATCGCTTCAGAAATTTGCAAGAACAGTGGGATGTTTTCGAATCAAGCGGATTACTTTGAGGAGGATTAATGAAAACATATTGTTTTATTGTAATATTTTTAAATGTTTTTGAATATTTTCTCTATTTTATGATCAAAGCATGTATGTATAAGAGCCTTCAACAGCATGTCCAATGTAAGTTCAGAATTTACATAGCTACAAAGCTTGGGTTTTATACTTTATAATGAGAAAAAAGCCACTATCCTAGGGCTTTGGGTCTGAAGAGCAGTGATTATTTGTTTACATGTTTGTAAAAGTATTATTCATTGTTTTTTCCCTGATATTGTACAAATAACTGTCATTATTGTTTTCCTGTAAACCTTAAAAAGATTATTTCCTTTCTTTATATAATGATTTTAAGCATTATTTTACAGTTCATGTTATCAATATTTCTAAATAAATTTATGATATTAAGACATTGGACACTTATCAGCTTAATCATTTATTTCTGCCCAAAGTAATCGTCTCCTCACCTCTCGAAATCTCTGTTACAGGATATGGCTATTCTTGCTCTAATGTAGAATTTTAAAACATTCGCAGAGAAATAGTCAGGAGAAGGAAAGTGCTGCGATGAAGTAAACTCAAGCGCTTTAACTCATCTCCCCCAACTTAGCTTCCTCTCTCACCCCTCTTCCCTTTCCAATCCACATATTGCAGGTATCTCAGTTGTTATCTCCACACTGAGAAGCACCAAAGGTGTATCTCAAGACCTTTTCCTTTTCTTTTTATTCATTAAGTTTATTGGTACATTTTAGGTATACAATATGACATTCATCATTGGAAATTTGCACCTTTACATGATGTATCTTGATTCTTAATTTTTCCCATTTCCCTGCCCTCTCTTCCACCCCGTCCACCCTCTATTTACAAAGACTGTTTCTTTTGTTCCTTTTCGCATATTTATTCCTGTACCTTCTTTCCTTTTTCCTACTCCTCCCACTTCCCCTTCCCCTGTAGACCTTTTCTTCCTATTTCACATTATCTATTATACATTTTGATCGTCACTTACACTTTCAATCTCTCACACCAGAGAAACTGTTTTGTATTTACACATGTGTGTGCCCTATTTATTTCACTTAAGAGTATCACCTCATATACTCCTAAGTGAAATAAATAAGGCACACATGTGTAAATACCGAATAGTATCCCTGGTGTGAATAATCTGCAATAATACCTAAGATCCTAATAAGATTACTGACATTGAGAAATGGGAAGAAAGGAGCTAAAGGTGTAGGGAAGGTGGGATGGGTAGGGGAAGGGTAAAAAGGGAAAAGAAAAAAATGTGAGATAATGAAAAGATGAAAATAAAGTGTTTGTACATCAGGAGGGGAGGGGGTGAAGGGAAGGCAGAGGTAAGGGGAAAAAATGAGAATCAAGACTTGTCATGTAGAGGTACAAGATCCCAACAATGAATGTAACTGTACTGTATCCCTAAAATGTACCAATAAACTCAATTGAAGCTGAAAAAAAAAAAAGAGTATCACCTCAATGTGGATTCATTCGGCTATAAATGTCTCTACTTTCTAATTCTTTAC